GTGAAATTAGTTTACGATCAGAAGTCAAAGGTCCTTTGCTGACCTTCGATCCATTATCTTTATCAGTTTTTGCCTGTATTTGCCCATCCATGTTTGAATTCATTGCTGAAGATTCAACTAAAACAGTACTACTTTTGTTTTCATTGTTCTGAAACTTTTTCTCTGTCTTGACAACATTCTTTTTATCATCCACAGACCTTCTGCGATGATGACTTTTCCTGAATTGACTATCTGATTGTTGTTTATGGAAATCCTTTCTTTGAAATCTGTCCATGTGATTCCTTTCCCGGCTTGCTCTTGCTGCAAGTTCTTTCTTCTTCTTACGGTGTGATCTCCTGGTTTGAGACTGCCAACCTCCTTCGTCCTCCACTGCAGATGAACTTGAAACATCTCCATCCACAGAATCGCCTTCAATCACAACAAAGTCTTTACATACTTCCTTAGTGTCAGAAATGTCACTGATAGGGTCGTCCTCAATATCACTATTTTTACACACAATCTCTTGTTTCGGCAAATCATTTTTATCACATTTTGATGCCTGAATGTTGTCACTACTTTGTACCCCTTCTTTCTGTTTGCTACTAGAGTCCTCAGATAGTTGAAAGTCATCTTTAACATTTTCTGAGGTGCCTAACAAGCTTGATGAATTGTCCTTTTCAAGTGCAACATTGGGTAAGAGACCTAAGGCAGATTCCAAAAGTTTTTGAGATGAAGGTGGAAATCCAAATGGTGGTTGTTTGGTGAAAACTGGTGACGTATATGATCCTGGTAAAAATAATAAAAATACAATCTCATGTTATTATTTGAACTGTTAGTAACAATCAGCATGATACACCAATAGGCAAGGGAGGAGGGCTCCTCAGCATAGGTGTACGAGATGGGGGGCGGGGGTGCGAAGAGGACTGCAGCCCCCCCAGCTACAGAAATCATGTGATTTTTGGGCAAAACGCTTATNATTACTGGTCTTTACATATATACCTTATCAGATGTTTTGATGTACAATATCATGGTATATTTTAATGAGTTGTGCTGTATTTAATTTTGACCAGCCCATAGGGAGAATCAAAATATAAACAGTGAGTAAAAATATGCAGCAATACTACACATCAAAACATCTAATAAGATATTTACTATTCAACTGTTGTAGTCAATAAATTTATCAGCAAAGATGGAGAATGCAACAGTTTCGTGTAAAAACCTGTCAGTTTAGTGCTGATCTATCAAGCAGGTGTTACACTGTGCAACTTACTAACTATACAATATTGTTGTATATTTGTACTTGTTTTGTTCATGATTTGAGCAACATTTGCTGTAGTTGCATAATAAATACTTGTAATTTGCTAACTATTTGGATTTGCCCAGACGTTGTGCTCACAACTTGAACAACACGCAAGCATGGAGAAAAGGAAAACAGCAATGCACACCCAATTCATTTCTCCCCCTTATTAACTTCAAAAATTGTTATTTAACCTTACCTAAACCTGAATCAGGTGTCACTATCCCACTGTCATTTAAAGATGAAGAGCTTCCACAAGACCTTGAATCCATTCCATTTGACTTGGAATTCTGTACTGTTTTCAGTTCTCTTCCAGTTGAGATGTCTGTTTCTAAATCTGAATTCATTTTAACACATAGAGGTGAACAATTTTCTAAACTGAGAACCTTGCGTTTCATGTCCAAATTAATTCCATCTTGTTCTCCTGTACTTGTGTTAGTAACAGATTGTTCTTGAGATGAATTAGTCGATTTTCCTTTCTTGGATTTCTTTTTCTTTTTGTTTCCATTCTTTGGTTTTATTTCACTGTCTATTAACTCTCCAGAATCAAGAATATCAACTTGATATTGAGGAATACTTACTAAATCCTTCTCTATACTACTGAATGCTGTGGTTATGTTTAATGAGTTTGTGCCTAATTTGCCTTTTAAAGCTTGATTAGTTCCTGCTGCAAAAAGGGAGTGATCACCACTAGTGAGTATTTTCTTTGAACGATAGAGCTCGAATTTCTTCTTTGGAAGTGCCGCAACTTGTCGTGCCATTTCTTTAATTTCATTAATCTATGAAAGGAACAGAACAAAGTTAGAAACGTTGCATACAATTACATCTAATTCTAGCATGTTGGTACACGTGTGCTAGCTGGTATTATGATATAAGTAATAGACTGATGTTCTAAAGGAGTGAGGTTTGTTTTTTTGTTTTTAAGCGATGATGTATTGTGTGACGTCATCACTTTATGATGGCATGCATGCATTCCTTTGGATAGTGATTTTGGATAGTGATTTTGCATAGTTTGTCGCGCTTATGTCTGTGCGCTTATGTCGTGCACGATTTATCCCCCTGTGGAAGTGAAATGGACTCTGGGAGTTCCTATGCTGCTTTCCTTTGCTGTTTGTAGGTTCAGCATAATGCTTTTATCTGTAGCTTTTAAAAGAAGATTTAGGGGTGGATTTTGGTTTAAACAGTATCAGATAAATTTGCATTCATGGGCAAACTCATAATAAGAACATATCCTCCATACATGCAAGTTTAGATAGACAAGTAAGTCGCACAGGTGATAGGTGAAGGCTTTGC